ATCAGAAAAATAGCAAAAAACTATTTATTGTATAATTCGTCATTAACAAACCTAAATTTTTAAAGTTACTTTTTTCTAAAAATGTTTCTTCTCTCACAGTGCAATGTACTCAAACAACAAAAATCATCCATCAAAAAATTCAGAAAACGAACTGCTTTATTTAACGGTAATTTCTCGTCAGCTAATTCGAACAGCACTTTAACTGGCCAATCTTTCCCAAATGAAGAAAGAATAATAGCAAGTGCATTTGTGTAACCGAGACGTGCAGCAGCTCGTGATGATGCCAGACCTGACATCAACCTCTCCATTAAATAAGAACTGTCCTGCTCAAACTGAAAAAACTTTTATTTATATTTTCCTATTCTCCTTTAAATGGAAATTCTTTCTTTTCTGTCTGATCAATCACACTAACAATTTAATATTAGTTTGTGTAGAACAAAAACCCAAGCAATAAGAGGAGAGATTTCATCCTACTCATTAAGGTCTATTAAATTTTGATTGTAATTTTACTTACAGTAGTAAACAAAATAAGTAGAATTCCGGCTCACTTGTAAATTAGCTACTAACTATGCAAAAAAAAAACCTATCACAGGAAAATTTTGTGGAAAAGTGGAAGATAGAATTTAAAATTTAAAATTTGTAGAAGTAATGACGAAAGTTTCAGGGTTCAAATACAAAACTTACTCCATCTAAAATGGCAATCACAGCACTATGACGTGTATGCTCATCGAAATCGGCGAGATCATAAAACTTGTCTAATAACTCCTTTGATACATTAACCATTTTATCCTGTAACTAAATTTGAATAACAATTTTAAAATCGAGTACTTCCCGATAACTTTAATAGTCATTTGGATAATAATTTAGTTAAAGAAAAGTTTTTTACTGGATTAAGAGTAAAAAAGAATATAATAATTTAAACTTCCAACTCAAACGCTATCACCCGACTGACCTTCAGCTGAATTCTCGCGGCCCGTCATAAACGAGTTACTGAATGGCGCGATGGTTGAAGTCGTGCCGTGCTGGATCCGCCGTTCACTTCTCTTCATTCACTTGCTACGATTAGGTATTCCGGTAATTCCGTTTTCTATTTCTAATTTTACGTGTAATTTGTTGGAGTAAATATTATGCTTCAAAGCAATGATTTGTAGCATTTGAATTAGGTGAAAAAATACCACACTACACTACTTCAAATAATTTATTGAATTGAAATGAATTAAGTTCGTATAAGGTTATTGCAACTGTTGTTAATCTTCCAGAAAAGGATGTAGTTGATTTGTTTGTGAATGTGGATTAATTGATAATTTTTCATATCACTCGCATGCTACAACCAATGGGTTATGAAATTTACTGTCATAGAAAGATCATTAGTGATATAAAGTGATAAGCACAAAACGATTTTGATAATTTACATGGGAAACATTTATTTTCAAATCGGATTAAAATTTGCAAAAGAAAAGATAAATTAAATATATTTGCTATCTGATGGATAGTATTTATTCCCTGAGAATTGAACGATGAAATTACAGAAAAAAAAAAATTAATAAAGTGGGAAGTTGAAAGGATAGGAAATTGTTTCATTTAGTTATCCGTAAGCTCCGTACCGCTGATACTGTAGTAGTAGACCCAGTATATTACATTGAATATCAGGAAAATCTGAAATTGATAATGTAAATCTGATAAAATTTAGGACATATTTTATTTCATAAATTTCGAACTCATATCGCGGAATTTGATTATTTGTGAAATGATGAATTATTACCAAAGGAAAAATAGATCGCGAATATTTGTCAATTTGACTGGGCCGTATCACACAGAACAGTAATCTATATTCTTCTTTTGTGGTTTCTTCCACGTGAATTGTAGGTGTCGGCGATGGTGGAGGTACTGGACATTGACATTCACCCTGAATTATCCTCTTTTTATTCATTTTATTTAAACTTATCATTATTGTCAGTCTAATCAATATGAACTATAATTATTGCATTTACGCAT